TCAGCCTCCTGAGTAGCTGGGATTACAGGCACGCGCCACCATGTCCAGCTAATGGTTTGTATTTTTAGTAGAGACGGGGTTTCACCATGTTGACCAGGATGGTCTCGATCTCTCGACCTCGTGATCCACCCGCCTCGGCCTCCCAAAGTGCTGGGATTATAGGCGTGAGCCACCGCGCCCGGCCAAGATGGAAAATTTTTAACAAATTGTTTAAACTATTTTCTTAAAGAGACTTCCTCCACTGCCAGAGACCATGAATAGCCTCCTGGTCAGTCATCCAGAAGCAATTCTTCACATAACTGATGAACTTGGCTTCCACTTTGGGAAGAGAACCATCTTTTTCTATACTTGCTTGCATTTTTGCTTTAATGTCTTCTATAGAACTAGGTCCTTTTGGTGTTTTAGGAGTTTTTTCCTGTTTTTTGAAGGATTCTTGTCCTTTTGATCTTGGTGTTGATGATGGTTTTGAGTCTTTTCCATTCTGATTTGACTTATGTGCATTTTTGGCTGGAGTATCGTGTATAGATTTCTTCACTGGCACTTTTTCTTCAGTTTCCTCATCAAAATCATCATCATCTTCATCAGCTTAAGAGTTTCACATCCTCCTCCTCATCTTCTGACTCTGCATCTTCCTCCACAGCTACTAAGTGCTGTCCGCTAGCATACACTGGCCCTGAACCACACTTCAATCGTAAGACCACTGGTGGTGTTATTTCAAAGCCCCAAGGGAAACCGTTGGCTGTACAGACATTTTCAAAGTTGCCAGTGTTACTTTAATTGGACTGCCTTCGTAATTCATTGCCTCTGCTTCAACAATGTGCAACTCATCCTTTGCACCAGCTCCTAAACTGACCGTTCTTAAAGATAACTGGTGCTCATTTTCATCATTATCCACCTTAAAGTGATAATCTTTGTCGGCCTTTAGTTCACAACCGAAAAGATAGTTCTGGGGCCTCAGGGGGCTCATGTCCATGTCCATCGAATCTTCCATCGGGTGGCAACACGCACTTAGGTGGAAGAGAAGGCAGACGGAGATAAACGACCACTGCTCAAAAGAACAGCAGCCCAGGATGGACTCACACCAGGGAAAAAGGTAAGTTAGGAGTTCTATGGTGGAGAACTCCTGGTGGAGGCTGGGAGACAGAGGCTGTAGTGAGCCTAGATCGTGCCACTGCACTCCAGCCTGGGCAACAAGAGTAAAATTCCGTCTCGAAAAAAAAGAGATCAGTTTGGGCTTCAAGATGCCCCAATAGGCCATTGAGGGTACCTATATTTACACTGATTGCCCCTTCATTGGTGATGTGTCCATCTGAGGGTGGATCCTGTCTGGCATGGTGACCAAGATAAAGATTCAAAAGATCAATGTCATCCACCAAGACTATTTCCATTCTGTCTGTAAGTACAGTTTCTTCAAGAAGCACCCCAAGAGCATGTTCATGCACCCTTGCTTCAGGGACGTCCAGATCAGCACAATCATGGTTGGGTAAGCACCAGCATGAGCAAGATGGTACACTTCAACATGCTCAAGGTCCCCAAAGCCACCAAGAAGCAATTCCTGTTCTGAGCCTGGATGCCTGCCTCCTCCCTAATGTGAAATAATGTTGCTGTGTCCTCGGTGGATAGAGCAAAAGAGAAAAAAAAAAAAAAAAAAAAAAAAAAAAAAAAAAAAAAAAAAAAAAAAAAAAAAAAAAAAAAAAAAAAAAAAAAAAAGAGAGAAAAAAAAAAAAAAAAAAAGAAATAATGTTATTTTCCCATTCCAAAAAAAAAAGGGGAGGAGGGGAAGAAATGCTAAATGTCAGATAGTGCCAGTGCCAGACTTGAGTTATAGAGCTCCGTCAAGGATGAAGTTGGCTACGGTTGTCAGTACAACTACTGATGACAGACGTCTCATTAACAGAGACGGGACGAAAGTGATTAACTGACTCAGAGTGGTAGGTGAGCTCAAATAGGATAGAAACCAACATCTGGTACAGATAGCAAAGGAGTCAGTGATCCCACTGTTACCGCCCGAAAGTGCATGACCTCACATTGTATTTGAGTGACCCTGGCATCATCCACCTGTAAACGGATGTTCTTTTTGCTACTAATGAAACTCTGAACTTACAGAAAATTGTCTACTTTCCTTATCTCCCATCAAGACATCCATTCCAGAGTTACCTTATGACTAGCTTCACATCTTAATCTTGATCTAGGAAATTAAGATATCTTATTTTTCGGGCCGGGCGCGGTGGCTCAAGCCTGTAATCCCAGCACTTTGGGAGGCAGAGGTGGGTGGATCACGAGGTCGAGAGATCGAGACCATCCTGGTCAACACGGTGAAACCCCGTCTCTACTAAAAATACAAAAAATTAGCTGGACATGGTGGCGCATGCCTGTAATCCCAGCT